GCATTTTATATTTTATAAGTACTTCAAATATAAAATTTTTTCCACATCTGATAACAAGATTAAAGTTCTACAATAGAATTAAATGGGAATTAGTGTGTTTTTTAACTTGGTGACTTTATTTATATAGAAAAAAGTAGTAATTTTTCACCATTTCAAGTTGAATATACTCAGTAATTAAGTAGACCTTTGCCAAAAGCCTGAAAAATCTGAGATTTTGAAACTCTGTGTTAATAGGTTAAAAATTTCAATTTTATAAGGAATTCCACTACCCAATTTAACTCTTAGTAAAAGTCTTATAAGATATGTAATTTTATTATTCTTACTATTTTAAAAAATATTTTGTAAATTAGAAACTAGATGCTGGTATTTAGGATAATTTAAATAAGTTTTCGGTTTAAAATATTAAAGACAGACAATAAACATATTTTCTCATCTATAATTAGATTAGTAGAAGAAATCTTAAATTTTTTTCTTCTTTTTTTTTTTTTTGATACTGGATAATGAACCCAGGAGCTTTACACTGAGCTACATCTCCAGCCCTTATTTTCTTTCTTTCTTTCTTTCTTTCTTTCTTTCTTTCTTTCTTTCTTTCTTTCTTTCTTTCTTTCTTTCTTTCTTTCTCTTTCTCCCTCTCTCTCTCTTTCTTGAGACAGGGTCCCACTATGTAACTCAGGCTGCCCCCAAACTTGTGGTGATCCTCCTGCCTCAGCCTCCTAAGTGTTAGGAAGACAGGCATGGACCACTATTCTCTTCCCTGTTGTATTTTTATCTCCTTTTCCACTGATACCTTATTTACTTAGCTAGGGACAGAACCCAGGGCCTCGTGCATACAGTATACTGGGTTTGTCTTTTTTTTTTTTTAGACAATTCAGACTGGGTTTGAACTCGCAGAGATCTTCCTGCCTCAGGCTCCTGTGTAGCTGGGGTTACCGGTGTGCACCATAGCTCCCTCCTAGGTGTTTGTGTTGGCTCTGTTCATTGCTAAATTCCCAGCACCTGGAAAGGCGCCCCGCCTGCAGTAGGCGCGCCGTAAACGCTGAGCCACGCGTGCAGAACCATTTAGGCCGCGAGGGGGCGCTCCCCTCGCGCGCACCTCCTGCGGAGACCACAGGACTCCGCGAGGTTAGCGCCGAAAAACCCACCTGAAAATCACCCGTTGGCGCCCGGGATTTTCCCAGAGCCTCGGGGGTGCAGGGATGCCCCTGGTCGCACGGTGTGACTTGTCCCCGGTGGTTCCGAAGCGGGGGTCCCGTGTGCCCCAGCCCTTCCAAGACAAAAGATCCCCGTGGAAATTCCTTGGAGCGCCTGGGACGGGGCGGGACGCGGGGGATCGCGGCTGAGTCTGCGGGAGGGGACCGCGGATTCCGGCCGCTCCCTTCCGGTTCTGCGGCGCGACCTCTGCGGCCTCGGTCTCCATGGCGACCCAGCGAGTGTCCCCAACAGGAAGCCTCGGGCGGCGAGAGGCCCGGGGGCTTCTGGCTCCCTCGGGCGGAAATGGGGTCCTGGGGTCACGTGCGCTGCACAAACGTCCTCCCACCGTGGCTGGAGGCCCTCTCCCACGCCTCCCTTGGAGCCTAGGAACTGCCTCAGTTTCCCCGCAGAACGCAAGGGCTCCAGCGCCCGCTCTCCTCTCTGCTGTCCGGGTCTGAGCTGTTGCCTCAGTTCCCCCGCGGAGCAGCGGAGGAGGTCCACGCGTCAGGATCGCACCACTTCCTTCCCTTTTCGGGGAGCTATGACGATGCCCCCGTGGCCGGGACCGAAAGGGGAAGCAGGGCGCGGAGGAGGCGGGGAGTGAAAGCGCCCCGGAGTTGAACATTCATAGGGTGTGAGGATGGGCACCTTCTCAGTCCAGGGCTTGCAGGAGCCCAGAACTGGCCAGGACTGCTCTATCGCGTCCCCGGAAGCCTCCGTGACACCAGAGTGAGGACAGGCCGCTTGGGGGAGGGGCACTTTCAGTGGAGGGCTCCCCAAAAGAGACCCTGGGCCCCGACCCACGAAGGGGCTGCTGCACTTGGCCACAGACACTTGCAGAGCTGGGGAGTCAAGATTTGAGTTAGTGCAAGGTGTGGAGTCCTCCCAGCACTCAGGAGGCTGAGGCAGGAGGTTCTCCCAGGGTTTAAAGTCAGCCTGGGCTACACAGTGAGTTCAGGGCCAGCCTGAACTACACAGAGGGAGCCCTCTGTCAAAAACTAAAAACAGCGGTCAGGATTTAGCTCAGTGGTGCCACTGCCTGCACCAAAAGTGCAAGGACCCGAGTTTGATCCCCAGTACCAAAAAAACAAAACAAAAAAAAGCAAGCGCAAGGTCCCAAGTTTGATCCCCAGTACCAAAAAACCCCCCCAAAACCTAAAAACAGCCAGGCATGGTGGTGCATGCCTGTAATTCCATGACTGGAGAGGCTGAGGCAAGATCTTGGAGAGTTCAAGGTCACCCTGGGTTACATAGTTCAGGGCCAGCCTGAACTACACAGTGAGAATCCTGCATCAAAAACTAAAAACAGGGCCGGGGATTTAGCTCAGTGTTTTTGCTGCCTGCTTCGCAAGTGCAAGGACCCAAATTCGATCCATGGCACCAAAACTCCCCCCCAAAACCTAAAAACAGGTGGGGGAAAAAAAAACTAAAAACAGGCAGCCAGGGATTTAGCTCAGTGGTTCTGCCGCCTACCTTGCAAGTGCAAGGTCCCCAGTTTGATCCCCAGTACCACAAACAAGAAACAACAAAAAACTAAAAACAGGGGCCAAGATTTAGCTCAGTGGTACCACTGCCTGCCTTGCAAGCTCAAGGTCCCAAGTTCAATCCCCAGTACCAAAAACCAAAAAAACTAAAAGCCAGTCATGGCGGGACATGCCTGTAATCCCATGACTGGAGAGGCTGAAGCAAGAGGATCTCGGAGAGTTCAAGGTCACCCTGGGCTACATGCTGAGTTCAGGACCAACCTGAACTACAAAGGGAGACCCTGCCTCAAAAAACAAAACAAAACAGGGGCAGGGATTTAGCTCAGTGGCACCGTGCCTGCCTCACAAGCGCAAGATCTTGAGTTTGATCCCCAGTACACAAAAACAAAAACCTAAAACCAAAACCAAAAGATTTGGATTCAGATCCCTTTGCAGCTCAGAGCCTCAATTTACCCTTTTGTGAAATGGACTCAGTGACCACCCCGATTGCCCCGCAGAGTGGGCTGGAGCAGTGAGCAGGGTAAACGGTAAATCACGGTCACCCAGGCCAGGGAGGAGACGTCCGGTGGCCCGGAGCAGGCCATGGTCCCCCTCCCTCAGCCCCCACCCCATTGCTTCAGCTGGGAAATTCCGGGGCGCCCGGGCCAGCAAGGCAGGACCACCTCGCTCACCGGGCACCCTCGGTCAGGAAATGCCAGAGTCCTTGTTCGGGAGGGGAAGGCATGAGGTTTCCGGGAAAGCGGCAGCGCCGCCCCTCGGTCCGCTAGCCAGCTGGTATAAAAGACCGCGCGCACTCTGCTCCCCAGTTGCGCCGAGCCAGGTCCCGAGCCAGGTCCCGAGCCAGGTCCCGCTGCCGTCCGCGCTCCGCCTCGCTGGCGATGGTTGCGCTGCCCGTGCTGCTCGCCCTGCTGGGCACCGTCCTCCCAGGTGAGTCGCAGTCGCAGGCAGGGGCCACCTCCTCGGATGGAGGCTGCGCCCCCGGGCGCGTGGGTCTGAGGGGCTGTCGTGCTTAGGCAGCAGTTCATGGGGCGATTGGACCATTCTTTTTTTTAGTTGAGCCATGAGCATCTGGACAACAGACGACTCTTTTTTTTTTTTTTAAATTTTTGGAGACAGGGTTTCACTTGGCAGCCCAGGCTAGCCTCAAACTTGCCACAATCCTCCTGCCTCAGCCTCCGGAGGGCAGGGATTACTGGGACTATGAGCATCCGAGCTTCCCAGCCTCCACTGCCCTTCCCTCCTAGCAGGCCATCCTCCCTTAGGCAGCTGTTTAGTATTTAGCTGTTTAGATGAGACTGGCGTGACAGGTTGAAAGGCACCAGCTGCCTCAGTGGCCTCCGTGGGTTACAGAAGGCACTGAGGGGGAGGTCAGTTTCTCTGCTGTAAAACGGGAACGCTGTAGCGGCCACCTCAAAAGCTCTCTGTGGTGGTGACACAGCCTCTGGCCCCCGGAAAAGGTCAGGTGGTGTGGGAATTTGTCCCAGCTTGCCCGAGCTGGTGAAGATCGAGGAGCCCCCCATCCCTGAGCAGGTATTCTGTTCCTCATCTTCTGTCCCTGGGGAAGTCCCAGCTACTTCTGCTGAGGGGAATTCCAGAAACTTCTTACTCAGGGGCTGAAAGCTGAGACGTGGGCTGTCCCAGCCACCCCCAACTCTCCAGTCCCACAAGAGCCCTGAGCTGGGAAAGAGGGGGGGCAGAGGTTCCACTCCGGAGAGTGGGAAGTAAACGTCTCCATTACCATGGCAACCAAGGATTCTACTCTGGACTGACATCCCCAGACCCCTGCCTTCCAATTCAGTAACTAGCCCACTCCTGGGCTCCAGGTTTCCTTCTGTGAAATGGGAATAATTCCAGAATTACATGCAGGGAACTTGTGGTCACGAGGGTCATAGATCTCCACCCCATACAGCTAAGCTGCGGACCGGAATCTCTGTCGGGGGAGGGTGGCTTAGTAGTTTTCTTCATAGTATTTGGAGACCAGCATCTTGCTATGTTGCTCAGGCTGGTCTCAAACTCCTGGGCTCAAGCAATCCCCCTGCCTCAGCCTTCCCAGGCCACCACCCTTTGACTTAGACTATTTTTTTTTTTTTAACTCTGGAAGCAGTAGATTCTGAAATCTAATCTAATAATCTTCCTTCTTGCCCACAGAACAGACATTTGCTACCTGCCCTGTGCCATTACCTGAAATAGCAGGGGGTGGGGTGACTATACTGACCGCCCTTACAGATGGGGAAATGGAGCCCCAGAAAGGGAAAACAATGGGTCCCAGGGAGTGGGGAACCAGCCTGATTCCTGCCCCACCCTGGGCCTCCTAGCAAAGAGGAGGGCACTGCCCAAATTCTCCCGTGGTGCCCCATTGCCCTTAAAATATAGAACACACTTTATTTTTTCCATGCTGAGGAACCACAACATCGATGAGCTACACCGCCAGCCATAAAGATCAGCTTCCTATGGTGCCTGCCCGCCTGCCCACGGGAGCTTAGTGACTTCTTATTACTCACTCTCTGGCAGCTCCAGACACCCTGCCTGAGGACCTTGACACTTTCTCCTCCCTTTTCCAGGAATTCTCTTTTCTCCAACTCACCAGTCCTTTCTTGTCATTCACAGCTCTACTCAGATCTGTCCCCAAAGAGTTGGGCAGGGCTGGCCACATCCGCCATCTTGGCTCTCTGGGAGGCTGAGGCAGGAGGATCAAAAATTTGAGTCCAGCTCAGGCAACTTAGCGACTTAGTAAGACCCTGTCTCAAATAAAAAATAAAAAGGGCTTGAGATGGAGCTCAGTGCAAAGGCCCTGGGTTCAATTCCCAATCCTGAAAAAAAAAATCTGTCACCAAGATATTCTGAGTTTATCATCCTGTTTTGTTTTAGTCAGAGCGCTTCACATCCGTTAGTAATTATCTTGTTTATGCATGAGGATTTCTTCTGCCACGCTCCAGGCTGAGCTCTGCCTGGGTCAAGGCCTGCTGCCCTGGGCCAGCTCAGGCTGGGGCTCAGTGCCACACACCGCTGCCAATGTGACTGACCCTGCCCCTCCTCTCGCTTCCCTCCCAGCAGTGGCCGGTGACCTGGAGGTGTCTGCATCTCCCCGGGAAGCCACGCTGGCTCAGGGAGGCTCCATCCAGGTGAACTGCAGTTTCTTGGTCTGTGACCGGAAGGATTCTGAGCTGGGCCTGGAGACTGACTTCTCCAAAGTCTTAGTGGACTACGGGACCAACTGGAGGCTGTTCAATCTGAGCGGTGTTGACAAAGACAGCAGTCCGATCTGCTACCTGAGCTGTGGCCCCGGGCACCAGGGGACCGCTAGGGTCTCCCTCACCGTGTATGGTGAGTAGCTGTGGCAGGGTGTCGGCCCCGGGAGATGGGTGGGTGGAACCCAGGCCTCGTGCCTCGTGTGTGCCAGGCACACACTTTACTGGCAAGCTACCCTCCCACCCTGTGCCTCTACTGTAACATAGCCCTGGGTCCTATGTTTTAAAAATGAAAGATGCACCAGGTATGTGGTACACATCTGTCATCCCAGATCTTGGGATGCTGAGGCAGGAGGATCGCCACCAGTTTGAGGCCAGCCTGGACTACATAGTGAGTTCAAGTCCAGCCTGGCTGAAACACATAACGAGACCCTGTCTCTAAATAAATGAGAAAAAGAAAAACACAGGGCTGGGAATGTAGCTCCATGGTAGAGTACTCCTGGGTCTGTCCCCGGTACCAGAAAAAAAGATACAAATTAACACTAGCCCCAAGATGACATTTTTCACATATTGGCAACAATCAAGAGAATTGAATAGTGGCGCACACCTGTGATCCCAGCCCTTGGGAGTCTGAGGAAGGAGGGTCACTGGGAGTTCGAGGCCAGCCTGGGCTACAAAGTGAGCCTGAACTACAAAGCGAGACTTTGTCTCAAAAAACAAAAATAAAAACCAAACAAAAAGGGCTGGGGATTTAGCTCATTAGTTTCACCTCCTGCCTTGCAAGCACAAGGTCCCAAGTTTGATCCCCGGTACGAGAGAGAGAGAGAGAGAGAGAGAGAGAGAGAGAGAGAGACACCAACAACTACGAACAACTATGCTGGGGCAGGGTCAGCTCTCCAAGTGACATATGCAAGTGTTCTGTGGCATAAAGTTACAGCCCTGGGAATCAGTCCTACCTGGGTCATTCCCACAAAGGAACTGAAGGGAAGCTGGGGGTTTTTATTTTTATTTTACTTATTAAGCTGTCCTCGGTATCAAACCTGGAGCCTTGTGCATGCTAGGCAAGCACCCTACCACTGAGCTATATCCATAACCTATACTAGGCCTGTATTGAAGAGCATGTTTGCAGAGCACTACAGTGAGAAGGGCTGGGGAGACAAAGGGCTGTCTGGCCATCCGCAGAATGTCGCACTGTGTAGAAGCGCCTGTGTGTGGGAAGTGAGGTGCTCCGAGGTATACCGGAAATTGAAAAAAAGTAAAGTATGCCAAGCATGAGTGGCATGCTGCTTCTGTGTTAGCAGGTGCCAGGGGCAGGAGGGGGTTGTCTGTCTGCCCAATGAAGCCCTGAGCAGGTATGGGGTGCACGCCTCACCTGTAATCCTGGCCCTTGGGAGGCTGAGGCAGGAGGACTCCAAGTCTAAGATCAGCCTGGGCAACTTAGTGAGACACGGTCTCAAAATTTAAAAAACTAATGGGCCGGGGATTTAGCTCAGTGGTGCCGTCACCTGCCTCACAAGTGCATGGTCCTGAGTTTGATCCCTAGTACCCCCCCCAAAAAATTTCTTTAAACTAATAATAGAAAGAGCTGGGATGTGGCTCAGTGCAAAGGCCCCTGATTCCATCCCCAGTACAAACACCTGGGCAACCAGCAGGCTTTGGGACCCAAGCCTTCAGGCAGACCTTGGCATGGCAGCTGATTTTTAGATGTATCCACCATTGATGGCCCAGGCAGAGAAGTCCCAGACATTCCTGGTGGCTTCTGAAAACCCCAGAGAAGTCTGTTATGAAGATTTCCTGCCTCTCTGACTGATAGTCAAGACCCTAACACTCCCGATCGGAGTCAAATTTCTACCTCTGTGGTGCTGGCTCCTCCACTTTGCTTTAGTTTCCCCCACTCTGTGACATGGAGCAGATGGCTGGCTCACAGTAACCTGGGGAGGGGCAGGTGTCCAAGGGTCCTGCTCCACTCTCAGTGTAAAGAGAGCCGAACCTTTTCCAGAAAGGTCAGAGATATAATTCATAGGGAAGGTGACTACTAGGTGGACATTGACAGTTTGACAGATGTGTAGGAGTTGGTGGTGATGAGCATTCTGGGTAGAGAAAAAGCATATGCAAAAATTTGGAGTAGGAAAATATGCTGATGGTTGGGTGCACAGGAGGAATTGTACATTAACAAATTGGTGAGGCTGGAGGCTCAGAGCTGGGCCTTCTCCTCAGGGTAATAGGGAGCCATGGCAGCTTTGTGAACAGGCCAGGGATCTAGACAGCCTTAGGCTGGACTTCCAGGAAGCCTAGGAACCAGTTGAACATGTCTCAGAGGTGAGGGCCAGATAAATATTTTAAGAATGGGGTGACCAGGCCAGCGACAAAGATCTGTGGCGAGGAGATGAAGGCAAACCGCACGCCCACCCAGCTCCTGTCCTAAAGGAGGGAGCTGGTCTCTGGCTACAGCTGGTTCTATTTAGAGGTTGAGGTTTGAGGGGGCCTCAAATTCTGCAAGTTGGATTTGCAGAAGGTGCTTAGAGCTAAGTGCTGGGCTGCTGAGTTTTTTCCCAATCTTTTGGCTACTTTTTGTTTGTTTAACTTTTTTTTTTTTGGTACCGGGGATCAAACTTGGGTCCTTGCACTTGCGAGAGAGGCAGCAGAACCACTGAGCTAAATCCCCAGCCCTGGCTACTTTTTAAATAGCTTTACTGAGATATAATTTACACACCACAAAATTCATCCCTTTGGGGGCTGAGATTGTGGGTCAGAGGTAGAGCACTTGCCTAGCACACACAAGGGTCTGTGCTTCCTCAGGACTGAGAAAAATAAAAATAAATTTAAAAATCTGAAAAAAAAATCTGGGTATGATGGTGCTTGCCTGTAATTCTGGCCCCTGGGAGGCTGAGACAAGAGGATCCCAAGTTCAAGTCTAACCTGGGCAATTTAGCAACTTAGAAAGACCCTGTCTCAAAAATTAAAAATAAGGCCACGTGTGGTGGAGCATCCCTGCATTCAGGAGGCTGAGGCAGGAGGATTGCCAGGCTGGCCTGGGCTATGAAGTACATTCAAGGCCAGCTTGAACTACCAAAAAAAATAATCTCTTAAGAACACAATTTGATGAATGTTTTAATGTATTTATGCAGTCAGACAACCACCACTGCTATCTAATTTTAGAACTTTTTTATCACCTTAAAAAGAAACTTTCTGTCCATTTATAGTCACAGCCTCTTAAGTGGATGAGTAATATTCCATCTCCAGTAGCCCATTTTACAGCTTGAGAAACTGAGGCAAAATCACTCAACCATGCCCCACAGCAAAGAAGCACTAGAGGCTGGGAATTCAACCCATGCCAGCCTGGCTCCCAAACTTTCACAGCATTGCCAGGGAACATTTCAGGGCCTCACAGAGGGATTAGGGAGTGTGGGAGGGTCATCACATCCCCTGCCTGGAAAGCCAGAGGCCTTGAACTCATTATGTAGCCAGGCTGGCCTCTAACTCACAGTGATCCTCCTGCCTCAGCCTCCCAGAGTGCTAGGATGACAAGCATGCACTACCATATCTGGTTCGGAGCTTGGAATTCTGTTCCCTCCCACAGAATGGGATTGTGGCCTGTTTGTTGTGTAGTCAAGAGATGTTCAGTTTCAGTTTTCCATTTTTTAACACAGAAGGGGTCATGAGGCACATTCTATACATTCTGTTACTTCTTTTGCTGAAAATCAGGCTCCTGGAGCCAGAATAGCTCAGCCATAGAGCACTAACCTAGCATGGGTGAGGCCCTAGATTCCATCCCCAGCACCACAAAGAGATAAATTTTGGGGGCTGGGGATTTAGCTCAGTGATGCTACCACCTGCCTCACAAGCACAAGGTCCTGAGTTTGATCCCCAGTACCAAAAAAAAAAGATAAATTTCTTTAAAAATAAGTTTTTTAAACTTTAGGCTCCTGATGAACTGGGTGTGGTAGTGCACACCTATAATCCTAGCACTCAGGAGGCTGAGGCAGGAGGATTCCCAAGAGTTCCTGGCCATCCTAGAACACACAGTGAGACCCTGTCTCAAAAAAAAAAAAAACCCCAAAAAACACCTAAAACCAAAAAGCTCTTCAAAATGGAGAAAAAAAATAAGGGCCAGAGAGTTAGTTCAGTGGCACTGG